CGTTTTAAGTAAAATCGTTCTTCATGTAAAACTTTGACATGATCCCAGTCAAGATCATGGTCCCTCTTCAAACAATGTTCCTGTATGGCCGTTAACTCCACTGTAGAACTCTTAAGAATTCTCCTATGCTCACCAATACATGTGGAGAGTCTTCTACTGTTTTGACCAACATACAAAGCATCACAGCCACTGCATTGTAACCTATATACAACGTTATTATGGAAACCAAGAGGCAACCTGTCTTTATGCACACGAATTAATCCTGATAGTTTATTAGTGCACGAATACGCAATGTCTGTCAGATTATTCTTAAAAAACTTTGTCAATCTTCTCGAAATTGAACCACAAAATGGTAAGGAAACATATTTTTGATCACATCCAGAACCTATCAATTCTGTTTCTACCCCCTTATAGAAATATCATACTAAGAATCATTGATAATTACTTATTATCCAGTATTTTTAATACTGAAAATAAGTAATTATCAATGATTCTTAGTATGATATTTCTATAAGGGCAGTCTCTGTAACTCGTCCATTATTCGCAATAAGGAACCTCAGTCTGCGCTTAATAATTTTAAAAATTAAGTCGAAAGGATAATTATTATTAATTAACGTCAAAATAATAAAATCTAAATTTTTTCTATGGAAAGAAGGATGACTGAGATAAAACATCCTATCAACCAAGCCAATAATTATGCCAATCTTGTGTTGAATAGAGTGGAAAGACAAATAATTAAGGTATCGACCAGAAAAAGTTGGTTTATGATACCAGTCAAAAATAACAGTGTTGTTACGTATTAACAGTGTAGTGTCTAAGAAGTTAATACAGTCATCTCCTATCTCCATAGTGAACTGAAGACGAGGATGGAACAAATTAAAAATGTTCAAAATATTATCCAAAAACTTTTTAGGAGCCGCTAAAAGAATATCGTCAACATATCTAAAATAAAAAGGCAATGTCACAGGAATCATTAATAGCTCTTTCTTCCAAATCTTGAAGAACTATGTTAGCAATAATAGGGGACAATGGAGAGCCCATTGGACTGCCGAAAGTTTGCTTGTAAGTTATATTGTCAAAAGTAAAAAATGTAGATTGAGAACAAATTCCAACGCCAATAAAAACTCGTTGCGAGGAATCATGATAGAATCGACAATAAAATGCCAACGTTTATCAACCGACGCCAACGCCAAATCCAGAGGAATATTAGTAAAAAGAGAGATTGCATCAAGAGAAACTAGTTTAAGATGTTCCTCAAAATGTTTAAAAACAAGCTTGTTAACCAGATCGAAGCTGTTATTGATTTTACTTTTTGCCGGGGGAATTTTTTGATAAATAATTTTATGCAAAAAAACCGCAAGATTATAAAAAGGGCTATTCACAGAAGATATAATTATTCTCAACGGGTGTCCCTCCTTATAAATTTTTGGCAATCCATAAGCCCTAGGGAGATTCCCCTCACCCGATTTTAAGAATTTATAAATAACATTATCAATGTAATTTTTCTTTTTCCATCTGATTAAAATTTCATGAAGATCTCTCTACAGTTTTTTGGTAGGATCATAGCTAACCTTCTGGTAAGTGTTGGCATCGTTAAGCTGATCAGACATTTTCTTACACATCCTTATCAATTGCGACCGTGACATTACCCTTATCAGCCCTTGTAAAAAAAAGATTTGGGTTCAATTTCGAGAACGTCTTAGCTTCCTCTGTGGCTTTAAAAATAAAATCATACTTCAACTGACAATGCGGAATATAATTATAAATTCCACGTAAGACAGGTACCACTCGGCTTCTAACCGTCTCTTTCTTTTCCCTATTGAGTTTACAAATATTTGATTCAATATGCTTAATGAATTCAATCAAGATGGACTTCCCATTATAAGGCGGTAAATTGAAACCGTTGCCCAGTTGCAAAAGACCCTGAATTTTACTAGGAATGTTCGTAGATGATAAGTTAACAAACCACCGATCTTGGGGAGACAGAATATAAGGAGATTCCTGATTCAAATATGGTAAAGGATTGATTGAGACTTCAATTGAACTAGAATCAGGACTATCATGAGGAGGTTCATAGGTAAAATGGGTTCTATAAGAAACACCAAGGTCTTTGCAGGATCTTAGCCTCCTGTTAACCGGCGCAATATTTGTAAGCGAACAAAAATAATTAATGGGTTCCAATTCATTAAACATAGATAAACGTTCTTTTTTACACATAAGCCGAAACTTATTCTCCAAACGACGAGATTCCGCTAAATAATATTTAGTAATGCACGCATACTGTAATGTACAAAACCTGCGCCACAAAAAGAAAGGCAGAGAACGCATCAATGATTTAGATAAGAGAAAAATACGACGTCTTAAGTAATGATTATGTATAATACCGTCTTTAATTTCAATGTCAAGAATTTTTTTAGCATGATACCAATTAGCGCGCTCTACCCTGCTTAATAAAAAATTGTTGTGTAAGAACATACTTCGGTTTTTAATTTTATTCAAATGAGGAGGCAGAATATTATTCTTCCTACATTTTCTTAAAAATTCGTTCTGTGTCGAAATTTTAACAAGCGAAATCTCTAACTTATTAAGTTCCTTGAGGCGTTTCGAAATAAAATGACCAAAATACAAAGAGATAAAATATAAAAATTTTAAGAAATAAACCTGTTTAAAACGCATATTTTTCAGCCCGCGTTAACGTATTTAGAAAGAAATAAGAACTCGCAAATAAAGATATAAATCAAAAGGTAGGAAAAAGCAATCCGAATTCAAGCACAGAACTAATAGTGCTATATATCATATGGATAAAACAACCTTCCTTATGTATGACGGCTACTTCTTGATATTAATTTATTACTTAATATTATTGCGGTAACGATCTTGTCGGCTTTAATATTGCGACTAACACCCACGTCTGTTTTGCGCTGGTCTTTTACTTATTGTAATGCGTTTGTGTCGTTAAGCCTTGAGTTTCTTTATCACTGAAGAGGGCTCACGGTTGAACCGAAACATTTGAATGTTTTTAAACTGTTTTTATTCATTTCAATAAATTTTACACGATTTCCTAACATAAGGAAGGTTGTTTTATCCATATGATATATAGCACTATTAGTCCTGTGCTTGAACTCGGATTGCTTTTTCCTACCTTTTGATTTAAATCACAAAACTGTCTGAGAAGTTTTTTTAGTACGAAATCTTATCTTTCTAACGCCATCTAGCGTAAACCGATCGCACTTATACAACGCGAGATACACATTACTAAAGCCATCTATTGGAAAAATAATGGATTTCTTTTTACTACACCTTATATTACTGTGATGCGTTTTCGCGGACATTGTAATATTACTGTAAATCTCAGTAATATCTCACAAATTTGATGCAGGATCTGTTATATCAAATCTTGCTGCCAAATTGCCGCCAGATATATGGCAGACCCTTATAGAAATATCATACTAAGAATCATTGATAATTACTTATTTTCAATATTAAAAATACTGGATAATAAGTAATTATCAATGATTCTTAGTATGATATTTCTATAAGGGGAGCTTGTTGTCGGATAATTACTGCAGATTTGCAGCAAAAACCGCGCAGAGCTTGTAGCGATTTGACGGCAGATTGGCAACAGAAACCGTGCAGACCTTGCTGCGCTGCAAGCTTTGCGCGGTTTTTGCTGCAAATTTGGCACCAATTGTCCGACAGCAAGATCTGTCGCCAAAACCGTAGCCTAATGTAGACACAGATGGCTATGGTTTTGCTGTGGGTTTTTGATCAAATTTACTGCCAATCTGCGCGAAGTCTGCGCTCAGTTTGCTTACTGGGTATATACAGGGTATATACATGGTGGACCATTTTAATCCATCCAGTCGAATATGTCGAAAACCAAGCACGGGAGAGAACAATTTTTCAGACAAAAGTTGTTTGGTTTC